CATGTGTTTGGTTCCGAATGCCACTTGAGCTCCATCCTTCATTTTCATGGATGAAAGCGAAAGCACTTTTTTTTTTTTTTTTTTTGGAAAATGCTCATTATAAAAGACACTGATGAAAACATCTCTGCTCCTTATTGGTCAAAATTATATTAGGCAAAAATAAACAAATAGAGCTACTTCACATTCTCCTCCATACAATGGCCAAGGTCATTTTTGCTTTCAGCTTTTGTCCCAGCTCAGGGCTTCCTCTGAGACATTTTTTTTAAATTCCTGATAGTTGAAGTGCCTCCAAGCTCTGTGTCAGATTGATTAGACGTTTAGCCAGGAGAATTAATATGTGAGAAATTTGTACGTTTCCGCCTGCAGCGCCACTTCGCTCGCTCTCATCAGTAAACAAGTAGATATAACAAAACCACTCTCAGCTATGTGATTAAAATCGCCAGCAAAAACGTGAAATTGCCCACAAAATTGATGCCGTTATTACGGCGAAAATCAAATCTGAGCATACCTTACTCAAAACTATATTTTTCACTCAGCGAGACACAAAAGGTTCTTTGTAGGTAACGAATTATTCGGAATAACAGGTTTTTATGTGGAATGAAGGCCTGTGCAACTCATTTTCAAGCTTCTTCAGTGCACAGATTTATCAGCAGAAGCTGAAAAAAGTGTTTAACACCAGAAAAGTGGAAAAAATTAAAAAACAACTTACATTTTTTTTTTTTTTTTTTTTTTTGGAGTGAGTAATAATTTCAACCAGCTATCAAAATATGCAGACATCAGCGCGGCACACATATGGTGAGACAGAACTCTTTGCCCCATGCAAACAGTCATTATAGAGCCCTATGGGCAAATGGCAATCACTAGGCAAAGGGGGAATGCCAAAACCCTGCAGTTAATTTGATTACATTTCCATTATGAACTATAAACACAGTTTTGCTGCTCAACTGAGCCAATTAAAGCCTTCCTGAAGCTTTAAAAAACACTGACAACGCACAGCCCCTTTGTTCTTTAACAATAGGGTTGATTGTAATCATTTGTCACTCTTACGCGCAATCATTTTTTTGTATTTTTCCAAACCAAATACTGTTTATTTCCCCCCAAATTTAGGCCGTTTTCATTGAGCTGTGACATGTTCCATCTCGTGGCAGCATGAATAAACATGTGTCGACAGCATTTGGCAGCGAGAAGAAAAAGAAAAGGGAAGGCAAGAAAATAAATAAATAAATAAATAAATGAAATAAATAAAAAAAGCAGCCAACCAGCCAGACGTTTGCAGGCACTGAAGACACATAAGGAGTCAGATATGGAAGCTGCCACTGTTTCACCTGAGGCTGGGCAAAACGCTCGCTGGGCTTTCCTGGCATGAGCCACACTGCAAAGAAAATAAGCACTTAGTCCAAATTTCAACAGCTGTTGGCTCTCTGGAGCAGAACACGCATTTCATGGAGTATATTTCAACCAGCACTGAAATACATATGCCATAATTAAAAGCCTTGCATTCTTTAAAGGAATGTGTATTACCCTCCACCTTTCATGACAAACATCATCCAACTAAGATCATCTTATGTCGGGACGTGAGAGTGGTGGGCTCATCACACGCTCTCACTCTCAGATGACTCTCAGCTACTATCAGTTTAAATTTGAGATCAATATCTGTACAACTGTATGAATCGAAGCCCTTTTTAAGTTGGCTCATGTGAAAGAGCTGTGGTAGCCATCTTGAATTTGGTTGACTCCAAAACGTAAACAGTTCTTGGCGGACATGAAATTATTATTTTCTGAGAGTTTGATTTAAATCTGTTCAGGGGTTCAAGAGATAATTTACTAACAGACAAAGAGGGTTGATTCCAACAGTTCTTGCTAAGGTTTTAGGCATAGCAATGACTGGCACTTAGCCATTTCATTCATACCCATCTACTCACGACAGACTAATGTTCAGGCTGCTGTTTAATATACCGTATTATTTTACATTATTAGTGTTTAACATATATTTTAGATCTTTTAGCATATTGTTTAGCATTCATTTAGCATATATCTTAGATCCGTATATACTGTTTCTTTTTACACTTTACATTTTTGCAATTTTGGGGTGTAACTGGGACCATGAGTACACAATTTGGTTCCGCCTCATGTACCACATGTGATGCGAATGACAATAAAAATAGTTGACCTTGAACTTAAGAGTATGTGATGTGGATGACTCTCAGCTACTACCACACCAAACTGTAGCTCAATATCTGTAACATCAACTGAATTATTGTCGTTTTGAGGTTTCATAACTTCAGCAGGCTGTGGCAATCGACTTCAATCGGGATGGCTTCAAAACGCTGATCAACTGTATCTGTTAGTTTATTGATTATTCTCAGAAAACATCTTTAACATTCATCCTTTGGTTCAGTAGATATTTTGCTGACAGACATATTTGATTCCAACTGTATTTGTAATGAGGACATGACGACTGATGATTTGCTACAGCATAAAAAAATGGGTTCATCAGGTGTCACAACTTAAACAGAGTTACACAAATAACAGGTGGAGTTTATTTAAACGATAATTTACGAGTGCAAAAATACAATTTAGCCGGCAGGAAGAGATGCTTGTATTTTTGATAAACCACTAATACGGTAGTTTTGTGCGATCTTATGCGTATTGATTTTTCCCTTCTTCTGTGGACGTGTTCGCCGGCGTGCGTGTCTGTGCGTCGCTGATGTAGATGAACGATGATGTGGAGCCTGTGCTAGAGTGGGGAGCTTTAATCACACAAGGATTCGGAGTGTTTTAAACAAATGCTGTTTTTTTTTTTTGTGTGTGTGTCTGTGTGTAAGCACGGGGGATTATCATAAGATTTAAAGATTTGGAAATGGCTGACAGCTGTCAAGCCGCATAATAACGTACGTCCAGAAAATTATAGCAGCTGTCGGTTGGCAGAATGTCAATGCTGCTATCAAGATTAAAGCTCAATAGACAGGAACACGAGCAACTCGCACACTCACCTTTTTGCAGATGCACACAACAATACGCGGGCAGAAAACACACTCACTCAAATGGACATAGATCTTTTGCCGCTTTTAGGTATTGAGGAGGGGAAAAGCATTACAAAGACTGCTAAGAGAGGGGGGGTGGGGGAAAGAAAGGCAGAAGCTCACATCTATTTACTCGCTATTTCGATTAGGGGATCTACATGAGTCTTTAAATGGCTTGCTGAGTAAAACCTGGAGAAAGGTTTCCCTGTGGATCTACACGTATCCCTCCCATGCAGTGGAGCAGCCGTCTGTATTAAGCTCAACAGGAGCATCAAAACGAACCTGCTGCAAACCAAGCAGCTACACAACACCTGTTCCCCGGTGAAGCCTGCGTCTCCCAGTTTTCCAGTTTTCTACAGTGTCTCTGACTTTATGCAGAGCTGCTGCTGTTCTGCAAATCATTTGCAAACAAGGTTTCCCTCTGAGGACGCGAGCTGCCTTCCACTTCAGGGCAACAAGGCGCCGCTGGATGCTGAGAGAAGCCCCCTGCAACGAGCGCAACTGTGTCACCTCTAAAAGCACGACTCGAGGCCCTCCTTGGATGTAAGAGCACACAGACAAAACGGTGAGGCTCTCGGCGATGCAAATGCCCGATCAGGAATGCTCACAAAAAAAAAAAAAAAAAAAGGAAAGAAGAAAAAAGAAAGGATAAGTTAAGGGTTTGTTTGGGGGAGGGAAGTTAAAAACCTAGCGAAGTAGCCTGGTAGCACTCAACAGATCCTCACACACTCCAGGCATGTTGGCTTGAGAAAGAGATGCTAATAACAGCTAGAGGAACCGTGCCGTGCATAATAAGAGACGCCAGAGACTCTTCTCAGATAAGGTTGGGAGTACTTTAGAGCAATGTGAGTTGTTCAAAGACAAACAAGCACGAGGATTATGCTGCTTTTAGCACTTTGGTGCACTGAGCAGTGTGACGGGGAAATGGGGAGCGCTTATAGGCAAGTCTCACACGACTCAGCCTTCAAAACGTGGCTATTTTCTCCTCTTCTTCAAGACCTGCAAAGATAAACGCTCCAAGGACATCAAACATGCACCTTTGGCACGTGCCAACAATAAAAGCCACGAATGTGGGTTTGATAGGAAAGCATTTAATTGGAACACCAAAAACCCTGTTTTCTTTGTCCTTTATCAACTTACCTTCACTTCCCTCAACAACCAGCAAATTCTTTGTTTGCCTTGAAAAATGGAGGCAGGATGTGTTTGAGCTCCCTGGCTTTCCTTTTATTTGGCAGATCTCATTATGTTCTCACTGGCCGAGAGGTCAGCAGGTGACAAATGACAAGCGAGGAGTCGTAACAGTTTCACAGTAGCCGTGTGATTAGTGTGGCTCATGTACATGTCTGCGTCTCCTTATCTCCGACTGTGTTGGACACGAACGAAAGCAGCACGAAGCATGATTTATGCATTCTGCCGGATGCACGTTCCTTTCACACAGCCTCCAAGTCTGAACGCAGATGTAGACCCATGCAACACAGCCTTCAAACATCTGCTCTGCTTGTCCCACACAGTCGTATGTGTTCCTGTCTGTCTTGCAGGTAAATCTAGAGCAGGGATGCAGAGCGTCTCGAAAAAATCCTTCCGTTGAGTTTTAGAATAAACAAGTCAAAACTAGGTTTGACTAAAGGCTTAAAAAGAAAAGCAGTACTTTGTTTTGATCATGTTGGAAACAACCTGCTCAGGATGGCAGAGCACACATCCTCTGTTTAAAAGCAGCCAGCACCATAATAGTCCTTTTCAGTCTGCAGGTCGTTCTCCTTGAACGTTTGGACCTTTCAAAAGCCCAAAGTCTGTTCAATTAACAGGCTGACACTAATTTAATTAGTCAATTGAATCATTTTACATTTACATCTATCTGTCCTGAGTTTATCTTCTGCATCTTTATGCGTCTTTTGTTCCTTTGTCTCACATTTATTTACCTTTTAGACTTTTTTTTTAGGCGCTTGCAACTGAACAAATCAGAGTTGCGCATCTTACCTTGAGGCTGAGCGCTGGGGAGACAAGCCGACAGCATCAGAATCCAACAGGAGACCCACACCTGTCCAACCTGTCCAGCTCCAAACATGGTCCACTTAGGTACGATCGAGCCCCCGCTGCTGCAGGTGCCACGGACCCCCCGTCTCCAGACTGGGGACATGTTGCTCCGGGGAAGTGTCCTGGCTCCTGCTTTGCTCCTGCGCTCCTGGCTGCTCCTCGCTGCTGTGTGATGGGGGTGAGTGACTGGATGGGCTGGGAGGGGGGTGGGGTGTGTGGGGGGGTGGGGAGTGTGGAGAAGAGACTCCGTCAGAGAGAAGAGCAGCAGCGGGCACGCAGACGGGCGCACCGCGGAGTGGGGATCCAGCTTTGGACACGTCCCGCGTGCGCGAGGCGGAGTCAGTCCAATTGAATTTGCTCGGCTGTCAAGAGTGTGAAACGGGCTGTACTCCACATCCTCACTCTGGAGAACCTCTGAATATAGAGGTGATTAAAATTATTATGTAAACGTCTACATGTTTTATCCTTAAACCCATGACTATTAAATAAATAAATAAATAAATAAATAAAAAGCTGTCCAGTGCAAATATTCTTAACCAAGGCACTCATGCAATAGATTAAAAGGGTCAATCTTATGTTTTGATCCTGCAAATAGACTCTCTCCAAGTTACTACACGCACTCCCCCAAAACAAACAAACATAAAAATAAACAACTTCCTATTCTTTGCAATGGGATTAATTTTGGAATATGAGTACCATTTTTTTATGGCCATATAGTCCAGAGACTCCTGTTTTTATGAATTAGACATCATATAGACCGTGGCAGCGCGCACAACCTGAGCCAAGTGTCAGCTCAAGTGCTCTGTGCGCTACTGCCCCCATGTGGCGGAGAGCGGTACAGATACACGTGTCTGGACAGCTATGATTGATTGTTGACACATGGAAACCAAAAGCCTGGATTACAGAGAACAACCTGATGGCAACCACGTCTTCCAAAGCTGTTTGTGGATGTTGTTTTCATTTGGAGAGGATTTGAAAAATTAACTGGGTCACATCGTCTGAAGAGCACAGGTGCTATTTCAGTGTGTTCTGAATGTAGGGCTGTGAAATGCACTGCTAAACCCTGCAGGAGCAGACTTCTTGTTTCAGAAATTAGTCTCAGATCAAGCACGATGTTCTGTCGCTGCCCTCGAACGCGCCATGCCTCCTCCATCATCAGACGAAGGATTAAAGGCAAGTTGGAGTACACGGAAAATTCCGGGCACTTCTAAAAAACAGACGCGTGCACACACGAGCTTTGTTGTCCTTGCTCCTTTTGAACTCGCTGAAAAATGCATGCGGGGAAGGTAAGCTTCAAAGAGCTGTCACAGTGGATCTGTATATCTGCCATTAGATTTTGAGAGTTAAAAGACCAGCAGTAACCCAAACTAACAGGGAACATCTGAGAAATAAATTCTGCTTTTTGCCTTTCAAAGAGCTCCTGTTGATGCACAAACAAGGGCTGGTGTATCCTGTGATGTATATCCTCGCTGCAAATCTGTTTACAGGTCCTTTGCACATGCAAGCGTCCCCCGTTTCCCTCCCAACGTCTTCGAGCTTCTCAATGTCAACAGGATCTCATTTGGTGTCATCCTTTCTTCCCTCCTTTTATTTCCTCTCTGCTCACCCCACTTGCACCCCATGCGCCATCCCCTACTGATAATGATGTGCTGATTATGAGGCTCTTAGGCCAGCAGATTGCTCTCGAGGCTCATTCGCATGCGGTGGAAAATTGCTGCTGTCTTGGAGACACCCCCCCCCCCACCTCCACCCTGCTGTGCATATCAGGCAGGTTGACATTAGCAAGCTGCTGGGAACAGCGTTAAGGCACGAGGGCAGGTGCTCTGTCTCTGTCTGTGTAACTGCTCTGCAGCAGAGGAAGCAGAGGTTGCCCTGTGCTACAAGCCATGCTGGGGTGGGGTGGGGGCACTGTAGGCAGGTGTCAAACAATACAGTATTGTGTATAGGTGACATTTATGTATACACATGCTAAGAATGGACTTTTTTTTTACGTAACATGTGAAGCTTTGCAGTGTTGATTGCAGTAGAGAAATAGATTTCTGTGTTTATTGACGTAAAAATTAATCAACTTCTGGTCTTAAAGGATGTGGTCCGTGTTCAACCAGCTCCACTGTTAATTGGGGTTTTGCCTGATTCAAAGTTCAGTCAGGACCTCTGGATGGTTTCCTTGCGTTGAAACGTTTCATCCTTCTTCCAAAGGACTTCATCAGTCCAAGGAACCACAACAAACTCAGTTCCACAAGCAGCACACTCACATAGTGGAACAACCAGTTTGCTGGCGATAAGATGGTTTCTGGTGTTCGCCCTCTCCCCCGTCAACTCCTCTGAGGCAGCCATGACCAAAGTGGTTCAAAACATCAAAGTTCATGCTCAATAATCCAGGTAAAAAGTCCAACAAAGTTCAGTCAGGTCTTCTGGATGGTTTCTTTGTGTTGAAACATAGTTTCAAAGTAGTTTTGAGCCACTTTGGCCATGGCTGCCTCAGAGGAGTCGACAGGGGAGAGGGCGGACTACAGAAACCATCTTAGCAACATCAAACTGGTTGGTCCATTATGTGAGTGTGCTGCTTGTGGGACTGAGTTTGTTGCAGCTCCTCAGACTGATGAAGTCCTTTGGATGAAGGACGAAATGTTTCAACATAAAAAATAAAAAAAAACACGTTCAGATGACCTGACTGAACTTTGTTGAATTTTTTTACCTCGAATATTGAGCATGAACTTTGATGTTTTGCCTGATTGTTATTTCAACATGTGTTGGTTTAACAAAGTGTTGGTATGGGTTTTGAAACAAGCAAAACTGTTTATTTCAATGGTCTAAAATTCAAAAGTAAGGCTGAATAAAAACACTGTGCCTAACAGAATTAGTCATGATTGTCAGCTTGACTTCAGACGTTCGTCAGGCTGCTGGTTGGATTAAAGTGTTTATGTCATCTCCGTTCTTGTTCACTGTTTATGAAGTCTCTCTTTTTCTGATCCTAAAACCATCCGCCACACTTTTTTATGGATTTGAGACCATTTTTAAGGGGGGGGGGGGGGGGGGATGAATTGCAAACGATGAAATCAAAAAAGAAAAATGTTATTCTGAACTATGTTAAGTGGTACTCTAGTAATTTTCCAGATATATTGAATATGTTATGTTTGAATACCCAGCGACAACAACTGAGGAGTGAACAAACTTCGACAGAGAGAATACATTTAAAGTGATTTTATTTACAGGAACCATGAGGAGCAAGAACGTGAGTTAGATGAGAGGAGAACAATATCGTTGGTAGAGTTCAGATTGTATTGTAGTTTGGGTAGTAGGGCATGTGGTTGGAAGGTGAGGAAGGCAGCTGAGAAGACACAAGAGATTTCCAGGGGTACTTCAAAGTCCAGGTACAGGTAGTTCACAAGGAGAGATGCAGCGGCAGATAATGCTCCAGTGGCGAGGAGAAGTCATCTACTACCTTTTATAATCCTGGCATCTCGTTAAGGAGATTATCTTCAGGTGTGGAAATGTTGGCGCCATCTAGTGTCTTCAGCGCAGCAGGAACAACAGGAACTCCCACAGAATATAATTCTGAAACATTGGTCCACTCTCAGTGTAAATAAAGCACATGGCTGTATTTGCTAAAAAACACAGGCGGAAAGTTGAGTCTTGTTTTTGACCAACATTAGGCTGGCTGTAGTCTGTGGTGGGAAACAAACATGGTCAAACAATTGTAGAATCTTGGATAAACTATTTAGATGTACAAATATAAGACTGGATTTGCTGCTAAATGTAAAAAGAAAAGAACAAAAATGAGTTAAACAACTGTCAAGAACAAAAGCAGGAGCTCCACCAAAACAGAATTTAAACACATGCAGCTTTTGCAGAACTTCTTAGATGAGTACATTTACCGTATGACCCATTTTCAGTCACTTCGGCTTTTTCTGCAACAAACAGGTGGTAACTGGCATTCATTCACAATTTGTTTTTTTAGTCTAAACAAAATCAATCGATTGAGAAACATCGTGCATCTTAAGTTTACCCCTTTATGGATTTTGTGCCTGATGTTTATGACTTTCTAATGAGTAGGCAACCTTCAAAGAAATTGTTGGTTAAAAAAATATCCTCTATTCATCTTACTTACTCAAAGAAGCCACATTCGATGGCTAAAGATTTTTAACTGGTTTTACTTGCAAGGGCAGATTTTCACAACGGGTTACACAGAAGTTACATGGACAGAGACAAGAATCTGCCACGGGCAGTGCGCGCGGCTTGTTTTTATATACTTATCAGCTCCCAGCTTACAGGCAGACCAGTGTCCTTTGCCATCCAGCTGTACATGCAGGATCAAATCAGCTCCTCATGCAGCTCTCCCCCTGCTAACTCAAACACACGATTCATGGGCAGTTAACATTCTCAGCCATAGTAGTAGTCTAAAACATCCATAAACCTTGACCAAAATTCCCTGACAGAAATAATTCTGATTTTGTAAAGTGGGATTCTGTGAAAGCGTTCTGAATATTTAACATCTTATCATCTGTAGACAACTCGTTGAACTCAAACTTAAAGAAACAGTTTGTTTCTGATGAGACTGATGAGCTGATCACATTATACAATTAACTGTAAAATTACACCTGTGGTGGGCACAGCTAATTAGCTTCACTAACCCATACTCTGCTAAAAGTTAGTTTTGCTCAAGCTAAACTGCTAAACAGGTAAAATAAAGTGGAAGCTAATGCTAACCGCTAAGACGACTGTCACTCAGTCTGAGTCACACGTCGTCTTCTCCTTCCAGTTGAAGTTGCGTCGACAATCACGTCTTGTCACGTGTGCACGTAGTAAGCCCACAGTGTGCTTAACGGTTAACGGACTCTTCCAGACACGCCAACAACAGACAGGAACAAGCTTGTGAAGTTTATTAGCAGACATAGTTGACAAAACCCAATTTAGCAGAAGCTAATTCAGCTAACATTTTCTAAAGTTAGCATAAACGCTAATCCTCTAAACAAAAAAATTGTTCCACTGTTAGCTAGTGGATTAGCAGAACTGTGCCCACGACTTATG